GTTCAAATACAAAGTCACGTTATCTAGCGCTGAATCACAAGTTCACGTGATTTGCACAAGTCTCTTGAGTCTTGCGTAATAATTATTTAATTTGAACAAAGGAAGCGCCTTGAAATGTTTAAATGAAATGAACAAAGGAAAAAATTAAGTATCTGAAAGTGATTTGAAATATTTAAATGCTTTATTTATCGCCTATTTACTAATAATTGTAGTGAAATTACAAATGACGCAAGCAAAAAATGCGAAAAAAAATAAGGGAACGAAATTATTTTGAAACGCCTTGAAATGTTTAAATGAAATGAACAAAGGAAAAAATTAAGTATCTGAAAGTGATTTGAAATGTTTAAATGCTTTATTTATTGCCTATTTACCAATAATTGTAGTGAAATTACAAATTTGACGCAAGCAAAAAATGCAAAAAAAAATAAGAGAACAGATGTCTTAATTTGACGTGGAGCACTAATTAAAAACATCATGGAGACAATTTTATATACGGATCTCACGGATTTTAAGATAAAAATGACTACAGTAAGAAAAACACGATTTACAAATTAGGACATGTTCGGCTATTATGGCCAGTTTGACGGCAATTACCACACTGTCTTGGTCGTCTTTCGACAAGCTCGAATGCAGACAGATCTCTTTGCGTCGATCCCTGGCTTTGATTTCTTGCCCCAACTGGTCTTCCTCGTGGTCTAATAATAGCAGGATTTTCCAGCACAACAGGAGGAGTATGCACCAGCTCTTCCAGCTGAGCGCGGGCAACAATTTGCTGATGCGGCGGCCAAAATTGGTACTGCTGCGCAAGAGACTGCAGAAGAGGCTGGAGATCAGTGCGATCGTTATCGGCAGGGCGTGTGAGATCTCCTAAGAATTCAAGATGGCGGCCTTGGATCCACCATTGCTCGTGGATATCAACTTGCTGCAATGCTTGACCAGCTGCTAGACGTTCGCTGATGACATGCGAACATGGAAGTCCCATCGTGGAACTAAGGATCCCCATGCAAGGATCTAAAGGTGAGCCGAGAGTTGCACTTGATGCCTTGATCCACTCGTCACGAATCTTCTTCAAGGCAAAAGCGGATACACGATATAGGAGAGGTTCAAACAGAGTGATCCGGTACACATGTCCTACTCTCAAACGCTCAGAAGAGATCATCGCACGAATTTCTCTTGCCTGAGATTCTACTTCCAGCACGATCTTGTGGTGCACGGACTCGAGATCGCCTGTGGATGACTGTAAATATCTTTTAAGGATTGCATGTGCACCTTCCACTCGTGAAGTCACCCTATTACCAAGATGCAAATAACGATCAGCCCAAGCAGAAATGAAGCGCTCCTTATGTGGCATCCAGGTCTCTTGGAGGTATCGCAGTACATCAGGTTTGCTCTCGTAACACTCCAAAAATTCATTCCATTGGGTTGTGAAGTCTTGCTCAGTGACAGACGCTGTGACCGCTTGCCACATTTTCATGAACTTAGTCCAATGCTCTTCCGTGGCAAAGTGACGCTTACATCTGGCCAAAATGTTCTTGTTTATGTGCCAAATGCATAAAAGGTGTTTAGTACTGGAAAAGACTGTACCAATAGGTCTCATTAGTGCCAATTCTCGATCAGTGATAACGACCTTAGGGTGAGACAATCCGTTAAAAATCCTCGAAGCACAAGTCAAAGCCCATTCATAACTCGCTTCTGTTTCATCGCTCAGAAAAGCAAAGCAGGAAAAGAATGTCGTGTTAAAGCTTGTTATACCGACAATGTTTAGCAGAGGCATTCGATATCTGTTCGTCTTATATGTGCAATCCAAAAGTAGCACGGTGGGATAGGCGCGGGTCAATGCAATGGATATCCTGTGCGCAAAAAAAAGGTGTGTGATGCGATTTTGATGATCATATTTATATTCAAACTCGAAGTTGGATTCTTGCAATTCGTCGAGAAGGGCTTGAATTGGCGTACGACCGTCAAGTCTTTCTTGGCGAATAGAATTCAAAGTATTGTAGATTGTTCTGGATATGGCCATAGAGGAAGGATCGCTCTGCCGAATGGTTGACAAAATTTCACGAGGACGGGAACCAGCAGCAGACATTCGCCGAACTTGCTCTTGTTGCTCAGTATTCAACCTGCGAGTGATTGGATGGCCAGACATATCCTCTGACGCTTCATGGTTGTGCTCAGAATTTCGAATCTCGAGAAACCAAACACCATTACGTCTGGTTCCAAAGAGCTCAAATGGACAATCCAAAAGTCTTGAAGCTGTCTGTCTACGACGTGAATCGGCTGTCAGGTTTAATCTGTTCCTGTAAGAGCCACCTCTGTCACAGCGCATTGTCACATTCTTTATTTCGCCTTTTGCATCAGTTCGTGACCTCTTCACGGTTACAGCATATCCCTGAGTTCTAGCAAAGGCTCGGACATGAGCAAGAAGCTCATCGTGGCTTGCAAATTGACCAGATGGAGGTGGAAGCATGGTTAGGATTTATACGGTAATGCAAATTGATAAATTGACAAAAGATGAATTTTTGATTCTCTTAATTTTTTGATCTCGTATTGTAACCGGCTGTTACTCGGAATGGGTGATCAATAAACTATAGTAAGTGGGAATTATCTACTATTGGTTGAAAGGTGTTTGATTTATCTAATCTATTCTAATTGCCTTCGTGTAGATTTTCTTTAACGCGTTCCTTTTCAATTATAACAAAACTTTAAATAGGTCTTTACTGACTTCAATTATTGAATGGGAATTTTTCAATGAAAAGTTAAGTTTATTTGTAGAAATTTTTTATCGCGGTATCAAAGACAATCCATCTCTATCTATATACATTTCTGCGTCTATTTTTTCTAATTAATTAATTTGTAATTTAGGTGATAAAGCATTTAAACATTTCAAATCACTCCCAGACACTTAATTATCGTAATTAAAATTAATTATTATTACACGAGATCAAGAAGCCTGGAAGAAGCGATTATTATGAAACTTGCAAGAAGCGTGAAATGGTTATTATTACGTGAAACGGTTATTATTGTCCAAAGCCTGGAAGAAGTGGTTATTATTGTTCGAAGCGGTTATTATTGCGTGAAATGATTATTATTGTCCAAAGCTTGCAAAAAGCAGTTATTGTTGTGCGAAAAGGTTATTATCGTCTAAAAAAAACTTGAAGAAGCAGTTATTATTGTCCGAAACCTGCAAGAAGCGATTATTGTTCAAAACCTGCATGTGATTGTATCTCCTCACATATGACGTATATAACGCGCTAGAGATGTTAATATTAAAGCGATTATTATATGTAAAACTGTCTTCCCGAAATCCAGAATAGTTTTTAATTGGTCTTGAGTTTCTTTTAATCGAGTTTTTAAAGTAGCATTTTCCGCTTGTAGTTGGCTAATTTGCTTTTGCTGTTGTTCGTCCTTATGTTTGATTAGTTTGAGATTTGTAAATAAGCCAATCTGATCACGTGATCGTACTTAATAATAG